GTCTTCTCACCCAGAAGTCAGAGCATCTGCGCTTGGCAGCCTTCGAGATCTATAGGAGTCTCTTGGCCAAGGTCAGGAGGAAAGTCCTCGTCTTCCCCTTGAAGCACCAGGTGCTCAACTTGGTGGTCCCCCTTGTGCTGCACATGGAGGATGTGAACATCGATGTGGCTCAGGTGAGGGGCTCCCTCTGGGGGCAGTGCAGTGGGCAGAGCAGAGAGGGGCTGGAGCTGGCCCACGTTCTGGGATGCATGGGCCGGCTCTGGGTCCGGGAGCCCAGGGACTGAACTGTGGCTGAGGGATGTTGCAACTGAAAAAGGGCTGCCTCGGTTTGTAATAGGACGCTGGGCGTCCGCAGATTGGGTCCTTTGCCCTGCGGAGGCCTCCTGGAGGATGCTGCTAACGGGCGGTTGAATGGGGTATTATCTTCGCGGGGAGGGGTCCCTCCCAGGGACCTCAGCGGTGATATTCCTGGAGAACCAACCCTGAGGCAGGGGAGTGAGAATCCCACTTGGAGGAGCCAGACTTTAAGGAAATCTGTTTTCAGAGGGACTCTCTTTGGGGGTGTGAAGACATGGGGTGGATGGATGAGACGAGGAGGTGAGCAATTTCCTTGCTCTGGGTCCTGGGTTGTACCACAGCCACTGGGAGAGTCATTACAGCCGTAGTTTTAAACTCGTTAATGGGGAACAGGGGCATCAGGGTAGCCACAATGCCTGGGAGAGCCCTGCCTGTCTCCTGACCCCCGGGTCCCTCTGCATGCTGGCATCTTCCATCCCACCAGGCTGGGCTCACTGCCGTCCGTCTCCCCTCTTTGTGCCCCTCTGGGTCCCTTCCCGGCCCTGCTCCCATACCTCCCCATGCCGAGCCTTCCTGTCTTTCCAGATCTGCCGGCCCATCCTGCGCCGCGTGGCCACCATACTGGGCTGGTGGAAGCTCAAGGCCATATTTGCCAAGAGGGACACATGGACCATCCTCAGAGCCCTGGTAAGCCAGCAGCTTGCTCAGCGCCCCGCTCTGCTGGGGAGGGCGGTGCACCCAGCAGTCCGGGTGGCTCTCCCGCAGCTTCTGGGGTTTGCAGCAGCGGCAGCCATTTAATAGTGGGGTGCTCACTGAGCATCTGCTTGTGTCCAGCTCCCAGACATGGTTCCTGCCCTCCCACGGCTTCCTGTCTAAGGTGGGAGCCAGGAGATAATTTCGGAATGCTTTGGGAAGGGCTAACGGAGAGGAATATACTTTGGAGTACAAAGGAGGGGCACTCAGCCCAGTCTGCGGATTGAAGGAAGGCTTCCTGGAGGAGGTGTCGTCTTGGGGGAGGGGGAATGGAAGGCAGGGCATCACTTAGGCAAAGAGAGGGCATCAGGAGGGCAGCTGAGGCGCCGCCATACCCAGGGGTATGGAGCAAAGCCCTTCCTCTGTTCCAGGGACTTTCCACCCATCATCTCGTATAATTTGATCCTGGGAAATAAGGGCGGAAGAGCCTGGCATGTGGGAGCTCTGAGTGGCTTGGAACCATTAGGGCCAGGGCAGAAAACTCAGTGCCTACGAGCCCACGCAGGGCACGTTCAGCAGAGAAGCAGACTGGGCGGCCCCGGGAGAACGGGACCCCCGGGGGCCGTCTAAGGCCGTGCTTCTCAGCGCTGTCGGACACAGCGCATCCTGTTAGAGCTCACGTTTACGAACACCCCCTCACCACCCTTAGACGAAATGCGTGGCCGATATGGCCTACCACTCCAGGTTGCGAAATAAATATAATGCCCAAAGGAGAACTAGGTGATTTTTAGTAATATATGTAAACCTGAGTATAACATTAGATCATGACGTGACATGCATAACGTAACATAACATTGTACGACGTAAGTCATAGACGTCCGCGCCGGGGCCCGCCCCTCTAGGGGACTCGATGAAGTAGCTGGCTCCTTGGCCCTCTACGTGGAATCTCTGTGAAGGGCCCCGCGACAAGAGCAGAACGGTACAGGACTGCCGTGCTGGGGACGCAGATCCCAGGAAGTGTTGTCGTTGCGGATGTGACTGCCTAAGTGATGGACGGCTTTTGGTGAAGCTCAAAACAAAAGGAAATACGGTCTTTGCTTTATATCGCAGATGCCTTCCTAGAAAACCCAGTGCGTGTGTGAACTGGGAGAAAACCCTGTGTGTGTTTCTACAAAAGAGCAGGTCAAGTTCTGGGCATGGATGGCGAGAAACAGGTCTTTCTTGGATACAAATAGGCAGCGGGATGTTAGAAATTGGTGTACCCACCTCATCACTTTGACAAGAACGCTGCCCAGTTCCGTCATTCCCCCTGGAGACAGTCCGGCCTCCGGTGCAGAAGGCGGGGAACCACGCGATTGATTCTCTGAGAGAAAGTGGGCTCAGCATTGCTGGATCTTCCACTTTATTAAGAGAAGCGGGAAATCCTGATTTTTGCTGAAACTTCCCACACTGATACTGGCAAATAATTTACAATGTTTAAAACGTTGTGTGAAACAAACGAAAAAATCCGCAGGCTGGTTTCGGCTTGCGGACCGCCAGCGTGCAGTGTGGGAATTGGAGGGCAAAGCAGGAAGCGGGAGGCAGGGGTCGCCGCTGTGTGGCAGAGGTTTGGGCTCAGTAAGGAGCTCAGTAAGGACGTGAGGCTGTAGGCCACGGGGAGTCACAGAAGTGTTCTAAGCACAAGCGAAACAAGGTTACATAGCTGTGCATTTTGGACAGGTCATCTGGCCACGGATAAGCGGACAAGTTGACAAGGGACAGGACTGGGGCCTGTGCTCGAGAGGGGCCGGAGAAAGATGATAAGGTCATGAAGACGAAGACACGGGGGGATTAGCCAGACTCGGAGACTCATTTGATGTGGGGTGTGAAGTTAAGGTCGAGTCTCAGGTTTCTGATGGGGGTAAATGCCGGCGTCGTGGACTGAGGTCGGGGACACAGGGGTGGAGGAGATGATAGAGGCTCTGTGTTGTCCGGGTGGGGTTCGTCCAGTTTGTGGGTCTATCCCATTGGAGGCTGGATGACATCACCGAAGCTGGAGAGCAGGGTCGTGCTAGAGAGACAGATGCGCCAACACTGAGCGCCCAGTGGGATGGTGACTGGAAGGAAAGCCACATGGCAGGAGAAGCGTGCGAGTCAGCACGGGGATCCCAGGGAACGTGAGCTCCCACGGAGGAGACTCAGAAAGACAGTCGGGCCAAGAAGCAGAAGAGGAACAAGAAGAGATGGGGGTCACGGTCGCCAAGGGAGGAAGCAGTGAGCGGCCCACAGCGTACGGTGACTGTCGCACGGCTGTAGGAAGGTCAAGACAAGATGTGCCTGTTGGACTTGGACCATGGGAGACACTGGTGGCCTGATCCACATGGAGCAGGATCAGTGGGCTGGTGGGAAGAGGAGACCAGGGTCCGAGAACCCACGGTTTCCCAGGGCAACTTCAAAAGATGGGGGAGACGACCAGGGGACCGGGCTTGGCCTCCCACGGCCATCACAAGAGTGGACCCACGGCTGCTCACTGGGGATGCTGGGTTTCCATTAGGATTTTATTTGAAGGAAAGATTCTGCTGCCGGCAAAGTTTGAAAAAACACACCAAGGATCTAGCCTCTCAGTTTGAGAACTTAGATGCAGAGCGAGGAGGGAGAGTGGGAGGTTAGCAGGAAAGGCAGCAGACGGGGGAGGGTTGGCGGGCTCTGTGGAAGGCAGGACGCGTCATCCACTGAGCCCGCAAAGAGGGTCTGCAGGAGAGGGTCACTCCCAGGGGACACGCATGACACGTGGCACTCACTTCGAGGCCCCGTTTAAACAGAATGGAGTAGACGTGATCGGTTCTC